GCTCTCCTTTAGCCCTGTGCTATGATACTGGTCTTTTCCTGACTTTATCACTCCTTAAAACCCACAATTATGATTTCTAGAAGTCAGATAGCTTATCTGGCCTAAGTAATCATCTGAAAGCAATCAATGGCTCTCCTTTCATTGTTTATTTTTGTTGCAATCTTCTTGGAGCAGAGACTGTATCTCTAGGAGTGTGTATAGATAAGATATAGTACACTTTGAAACCATCAACATTAAAATGAAACCAAGAATAAGGCAGTACTGAAAATGGTATTATGTTCTAGATTTGTGCATATACTTTTCAACTGCATCAGTCAATATGGTTAACTTTAAATGAATAAGAGAATGTCTCAGGACTAACATGTTTAGTTTTATTATAGTTAGTTTATTCTCTTCACTGAAAAAACACACTTAAGTCTCAGTGACAGTATCCCCAGTCATTTTGTAAATGCTTTGCAGCTTTAGGCCATGCTGTGCTTTCTTCATGTACTGCTGTCCCTCTGTAATGGTGTCTTATTGTTCACCTGACTTTGGTGCTCCCTGTTGATGCTGGCCATACAGAGAGCCAAAGGAAATCAGTCTCCTACATTAAGCACCAAAACTAGGTACTTTGGTGGTGCAACCTTAGTTTCCTATTAGGCGTTTTCTTGGTTCCCTACTCCATGGATGTATGGAACTTTCCAGCTTGAAATTTTGACTAAAAGCCTTTACCAAGCATTATGCTACTCTATTTAGTTCAATTGGTTGTCTCAGAATCTGCCCAACAGCGTTGCTCTGAGCTTTTTGTCAGAAATTCTCACCTATTAAATGTTAATAATGGAATTCCTTTGGAAATCACAATGCGTTTTTCAGATAGCTTTTCACATACTCTTCTTTTATGCTGGTAATTGAGTATGGGAGAGTCCTTTTTAGGGCTGGGTGGGCTGATCCAATTATATAACAGACTGGCTATTGCTTTGCATAGTCTGGATTGTGCCCAACAGCTGGTGGAAATAAAAATTATTATAGGGCTTGCACATGTTTTATATAAGCTTGCAGAACTAAAAGAAAAGACATTTTCTTTGAATTGTCCTAATTGAGTGATTTTAAAAAATGGCAAATCTAGCGAACTTATTCACAAGTAAGTTGCAGCAAAACTGCAGTGCTATGAATTTGGTCATCTATATACAAACAGGAACTGAGGCACACATTAACGTTGCTCTGAAATGCTGTTTAGTCTTTTTATTCAAGTACCCAGCTAAGCAAAAAACCAAAAGCCTTTTAAGAACGTTATTTTAATTGAGGGAAGTGGGAGTGAATGTGAAATCAAGATTTTTTTTTTTGCAATATTGAGCTAAACAAAGCTTTTAATTTACCCACAGGTTTATTATCAGCCGCACTGTATCAACCCCATACTCTGCTCTGAGTCACTGTAAAGAGGAAGCCTTTACAAAGGGACACCTGGCTAAATAGCTCTCTCCTGCTCTGTCTTCAATATTGCTATTGATCAAAGCAGACAGGCACAGCTTAGCTTAACTAAATTTAAGGTATCAGAAAGACAGTTGGGAACTAAATTTGATTTCAGTTTAATCTTGGAAGGATACATTTGGAATTCTAGGGGGTTACATTGAGCCAGGACTAGGTTGTCAGATACTAGGGACTTTTTGGGGATGGGATGACTCTTCTCAGGTATGGAGTTAGGACCGTATTTGTACCGTATCTAAGCAAGTGTTCCCAAGTTCAGATTGGAGATCTAACTAGAAGCTCAGTCTCCTTTCCTACTAGAAGTGGGAGTCTATTGTATTAGTGAGAAGAAAGGAAATTCCTATTTCTGAATCTGGAGGGGAAGCTGAGATTAAAACAGGACAGAAGAAGAGGTTACAATCCTGCCTGAGGGAGAATGGCAGGTGTTCTGAAATCGGTACAGTGTCCAAATGTCGTGGAGAGTTCAGTGAGAAAACTTATTAAACTATGAAATCAAGGTTGAGAAAGCTTTAGAAAGGGAAAGCAGAAGGCAGAAATTGATCATGGCTTTGTATAAAAACAATGATTGGAATAGTATGGGAGTAACCAAAGGCAAAAATTACACTAAGAAAATTAACTGTACTCTTACGGGAACTCAGGTGATAGCTCTTTTAGCAGAAATTGGTTTTGATGCGAAGAGACTATGTAGAAAGATACTTAACATCATGTGTCTAATCGTGCTTATTCAGGCCACTGAGTTTTATGTTAATAAGCATCAATTAGGTTTTGTGAGAATTGTGCAAGATGGATGAATCTCCTGTATATCTCATGGGATGGTGCATCAAGAAAAGGCATGTAACTGACTTGCCAGAATCTGTGTGGGTAATATAAAGCAAATGAAAGACACAAATGAAATCCGCAATTTTAGGCGTTACTTTGAGATCGTTGGAGAAGAGATGTTAGATAAATAGTTGGAAATGAAAGTGCTCTTTTGCAACTTTACGATCTTTTAAACTCCTACACACAATGGTTTGTGTAAACATATGAGGAACTTTAGGAAGGAAGGGATATATTAGTGCACACGCTGTTTTTCAGTGTAACACTCGGTAATAGACTATGTACCGCTTTATTTCTGTAGGCTTTCCAATGTTGTGTGGTCTCCATGAGTAACACTCTGAGCTGTTGTAGAACTATGAATTTTAAGTGTTGGCAGGGTGACCTCTGCTGAAATTTTGGACACTTGGCAATGAAGATACAGTTGGATTCTCTTCTGTAAGCCTAGTGCAAGATGGAGGGCAAGTCAGTTCTTTTTCTCTATGTAATGAAACCCTTTTAGCATAAGATAAGAAAGCTTTCAGGATGCATAGTGCTATGACATTTTTCCTGACTGCTCTCTCTTCACAAGCCAATATTAATAACTATGTTTTGGTATTTAACTTCACACTTTCTAAAGTATCGACAAGGCATTGTCAATGTAAGCTCTTTGGTCTTGTTATCTGACATTGTTGGATATGTGGAATCTTATTTCATCCAGGTGTAAGAGTAAACAACTTGTTGGTGAGGTGACAGGGAAATGTGCCCTGACATGATCAGTCCCTGGGTGGCAGGGTGTGGGGGAGGATTTTGGCAGGTGCCTGGGGCTGTTATCACCTTCCAAAGCCTGGGTTTTTTTATGCCTGAACGGGCACGTAATCCCATTGAATTGGTGCACCACTTGATGGAAGACTGCCTTGCCTACCTGCATGAAACCTATTAGTTCCTAGTATTGTGACTACTGAGCCTCTGTTCAGCTCCATCAGAGCAGGGGAAGGAGGGCCTCTACATCTGAGGACAGCATGGTTAAGACAGGGATTTAAACCCTATCTACAGTAATCACACCAGTAGTCAAAAAAAAACCAAATGGAAGCAGAAATTCACAGATCCATACCACCAATTAGTAAGGGAGGAGGAAGAGTCTGATCAGGAAGCTGGTCCTTTGGCAAGGAAACAGGAGAAGATGACAGATGTCACCTGGTCCCTGAGTGAACTTTGAGATACACGACAAGATTGTGTCTGCCAGCCAGGTGAATGGATTGCTGCCTGGTTGCTCAGATGCTGGGATACTGAGGCTGACAGGAATTAGAAAGTAAGGAAGCCCAGAAGCTGGGATACCGTGCTACGGATCAGGAAATAGACAAAGAAATCAGAAAAGAGGCAACAATCCACAGCCTCTGGAGGTGGCTCCTGTTGATTGTGAAGGCAAGGTATCTTCTCAGGGATGATCTTGTAAATTATGAAGGGAAGTAGTCCACTGCTGAGAAAGGTGGTGTTTTAATTTGTCTTCTCACTATCCAACTCTATTTTAATTGGCAACAAATGGAATTACTTGGCCCCAAGCTGAGTCTCTTTTGCCTGTGATGGTAACTATTAAACAATCTCCCTGTCTTTACTTTGACTCATGAGATTTTTTCATCTTATTTTCTACCTCTGCCCTG